CTGCTGGACAGAATGCAGAACTTCCAATGCCTCAAAACCCAGGCGTCCATCAACAGATGAATGGGTAAACAGAAAGTGGTACGCCCATCCAATGGAATATTACTTGGCCATAAAAGGGAATGCAGTGCAGATACAGGCTGCAACATAGAGGAATCTTGACAAAATTATGGTTAGGGAAAGAAGCCAGCCATAAAAGGCCGTGTATATGTTTCCATTTACATGAAATGTCCGCAATGGACAAATCTACAGAAACAGAAAGTGTGTTGGTAATTGCCTGGAACAGGGGAGTGGGAGCAATGGGGAGTGACTGCTAATGGTCACTGAACTTCTTTTCGAAAACGCTCTAGAACTAGAGAGAGGTGGTGGTTGCGTGGCCTGGTGAATACACCAAAAACCATTCAGTTGTGCAGGTGAAATGGGTACATTGTATGGTAAGGGAATTATGTCTCAAAACAGCTGTTATATTAAAAACACAAAAACCAGCCCTGGCTGGCGTAGCTCAGTGGATTGAGTGCGGACTGCAAACCAAAGTGTCGCAGGTTCGATTCCCAGTCAGGGCACATGCCTGGGTTGCAGGCCATGACCCCCAGCAACCGCACATTGATGTTTCTCTCTCTCTCTCTCTCTCTCTCTCTCTCCCTCCCTCCCTCCCTTCCCTCTCTAAAAATAAATAAATAAAAAAATCTTAAAAAACACAAAAATCTCTGAGGGTGAGTTCAGCAGGCCCTGGTCCTGCTCACTGTGGGGTAAGGATGAACATCTTTCTACCGTCCTCTCAACCCTCCCACGAGTGCAGGGGTTCACCTCTCCCTCCGCACAGGTGAGGTCCTGTTGTCAGGTCCCCCAGCCCCTCAGCTGAGACCCAGGCCTCAGGATCCAGGCCCCTTGTCCTCTGTTATTCTGATGTCAGGAGGCCCTACCAGTATGAAACCAGGAAGGGACTGACGTTTTCTTCAGATGTCCGTTTGCTCATCGTCAAATGGACTGGCCCCCCTGCCCTCCCAGGGAGCTCCCTGAGCAGGGCTGCCAGCCGCAGCCCGGCAGCACAAGCACACCTCGAAGGGGACACCATTCCCTGCTCAGAGCTGGTGATAGGGATCCTGGTGGTGGCAGCGATTGTGGAAAGGTGTCTTGCTCTTCCAGAATTGGTCTATGACACAGTTTCCTAACAGAGGGGCCGCAAAGCCCTTGACTGATGAGTACTTTTTTAAAATTGAGGTGAAATTCTTCGAACAAAATTTTTAAGTGAACCATTTTAAAATGAACAATTCAGAAGCATTTTGGAAATTCACCGCATGGTACAATCATCACTTGTATTTACTTGAAAAATATTTTCGTCGCCCCAAAAGGAAACCTCACAGCCACTGAGCAGTTACTTCCTGTTTCTCCCTCCCGCCAGCCCCTGGCAACCACCAATCTGCTTTCCGTCTCTGTGATGCTACCTGTTCTTGGGTATGTCATGGACTCTTACACAGTGTGGCTTTTTGTGACTGTCTTCTTTCACTCAGTGTACTGTTTTCTAGGTTCATCATGTTGTAGCGCCTATCAGTACTTCATTTCCTTTTAAGGCCAAACACTGTTCCGCTGTGCGGATGCGCCACGTGCTGCTCATCCGTCCGTCCTGGTGGATGCTTGGCTGGTGTGCATAATGCTGCTCTGAACACGCGAGTGCACGTACATGTTTGAGTCCGCGTTTTTAATTCTTTGTGGGAATATACCTGGCAATGGCATTTCTGTGTCATGCAGCAATTCTGTGTTTGACCTTTTGGGGACTGCAAGCACGCCTTTTTCTAATTTGCACACAAAGGCGCTCAGGCTCTGTGTGGGTGGGCACAGTGGCACTTGAGAGTCACACAATCTTCGGGGCTCACACCCACCCAGCTCTCACCAGCTGCCCAGCCTGGGGCTAGAGGCTCCATAGAAGTGACTTCCTTCCACCTTCATGACCATCATCCAGGCAAGAGGCAGGGGAAGGGGCTCCGACTCGAGCTCAGCAGCCCGAGTTCCAAAGCGCTGTTTGTGGCCACTGAGTCACTGGGCAGCGTGGTCAGATGTGGCGTCATAATCTGAGGCCCATTGAAAAGCTAAGTCTTTTTCTTGTTCCTCCCCTGCCCTGTCTGTACCCTCGTCCCCACCCACTTTGTAAGTCAGAGGCTGAAGGAGGGCTCTCTTCAAGGAGAAGGCGGCCACATGACCCCCATCTGTCATCTGTCATCTGTCATCCACCATCCATCATCTGTTAGCCCCAGGGATCTGCGGGCAAGATCTGAAAACTGGGGCAATTAATACAGCTGTGTTGTAGTCTTGCTTGCTTGCTTGCTTGCCCTGTGCTAGATAGTGCCTGGCCAGGCACCTCCTCTGGGCTCCCAGCCCCAGCCCAGGGTGGGGAGCAGAAGTCTCCTCGGGGCTCCATTGGCCAAGGGCCCCAAATGAGTAAGGGTGTGGGCCTTTCTTGCCAGACCCCCTCGGCTGTAACTCCACCTACCTTCTGCAGAATCAATTATTGATGAGGCCCTTACAGTCGGGGAGACCCAGGGGAGTATTCTGGCTGCCTTCCAGCCTCCATGAGAGCAGAGGGGCAGGGACAAATGAGCTTGTTCCTGAAGTCATGGCCAGTGAGATGCTCCAGGCTGTGGCTTCCCATGGTCAGATGCCCAGAGCATCCTCAGGCCAGGGGGTCCCACTCCACTGAGGGGAGCAGGGAGCTCTGGGGCTATCTTGCTTCCCCTGAGGACTGAGAAGGAAGCAAGCTGTTTGAAGGGCCCACACACCAGACCCGCAGCTCCCACAGTCGCCCGGCACACAGGCTCAGACAGGTGGCTGGTGGCCTGAATGCTGGGGAGGCATCTGGATGGGGGGGGGCCGGGAAGGATCCGCTCTGCCTGGAAGGAGGCAGCGTGGCAGCCACAGCTCCCGTCTGCCGATCAGCTTCCCCCGGGGAAGGCCCGACATATGGAAAGTGACACTGGGAGGCCGAGGCAGATGGCAGAGTGGTTCTGGAGCTGCTGGGAGGGTGTCTTGTCTCAGGGCAGTGGCCAAAGCCTCAGGCTCCCTGGGTGGCAGTGAGCCCAGCTCGTCCCCACCTCACCCCCAGGAGCCTCCTCCCTCAGCAGGGGAGGCCCCTTTCCGAGCTCTGCCATATCCCCTCTGCAGCTATGGCCTGGAACGTGTTGTTCCTCTCCCTGGGCCGCTCCTTGGTGCACTAGTTCTTTGTTTTTTAAAGATATTATTTATTACTATTGTTATTATTATTATTTAGAGAGCAGGGAAGGCATGGAGAAAGAGAAGGAGAGAAACAGATCGGTGGCCTCTTGCACACCCCCCGCTGGGTTCCTGGCCCGCAGCCCAGGCACGAGCCCTGACTGGGAGTCAGCCAGCGACCTTCCAGTTCGCAGCCCGGGGCTCGGTTCACTAGTTCTTACTCGCGTGAATGAGTGAGCATGTGACTGTAACTGATCTGCTGTCCTTCGCTAAGTTCGTTTCCCAGCTCTTAGGTGACCTTAGGTCTCCCCGCTTAAGATGTCCCAGGTCCCTCTGGAGAGTGAGGTTTGCCTGGGAGTGGCTCCCACCCCCTCCCCCAGACTGAAATGAGAGTTGAAAGGATCCTGGCCTCCCCTCCCTTCCGCCTTCCCAAAGGAGGCCAGGACACGTGATCAAGGAGGCTGAGAGCCAGTACCCTGCTTAGCTGTGGGGCTGGGGCAGGACTACAGCGTGGGGGCAGGGAGCTGGGTGTCAGGAGAAAAGGGATTGAGTTTCCTGGCTCTGCTGGGGACTCCAAGGAGGGCTGGGCATGGGTGGGGCCATGCAAATAAGCCAGGAGAGGTGGGAGAGGGAGCCCAGACACAGACAACTACACCCAGAGGTAGCAGGTGCTCTGCGGGTCATGGAGGACCCACAGAGTCCTCCTAGAGTGGGGCACGGAGCTCTTGGCAGAGAAGGGGGCCAAAGCCCGGGGATGGAGGCTAGAGCACAGGGGCTGGCAGGGGTGGGCTGGGGCGGCCAGTGAGGGGCCTCAAACACCAGGGCGAGAGTGCACTCTCAGAGAGCAGGGAAGGGGTTGGGAAACGCAGAGGGACGAGACGTCACAGCCAAACGTGGAGGTGTTTGAGGGGAGGTTCTCGTGGACTCGTCCTGTTGGGAGAACCACACTGCAGCGACTTTGACGGAGACACTGTGTTGACAGGGAAACTGAGCACACAGAGTGGGCAACACGGGGGCAGTGTGATCAAGGGCCACTTAGGGAGGGAGGGAGGGAGGGCACACAACAGACGGTGCGGGTCAGCTCAGGAGCTGGTAACAGTGGGATGCCACTACTACCCCCAATTCTGGGGCCTGGAGGGGCAAAGAGAGGGAACCATGGAGAATACCAGCCCACCAGGCCCAGGCTCGCCCACCCTGTGACGCTTTCTGTTGTGTGCTGCAAACCCACCCCTAATACACCCCCAGTGCAGCCTGCCCCCCAAGATTGTGTCCAGTGGACCAAACTGGGGTGATGGTCCGCAGGAGGCCAGCAAGGCCTCTTTGGGGAATTCTCAGTGGGCAAAGCTGTAACTACAGGGTGACCACTGTAGCCCTCCTGTGAAAACTAAAAGCCGACTCAAACCAATTGTCCCAGGTGCAGGACGGGGTACATGGAGTCTGGCCCCTCCACAGGAAGGGAAACCCACAGCTGCTGAAGGCTCGAGCATGCTCGGTGTGTGCTGGGGGGGATCCCGAGGGTCATCAAGGACGCAAGCTCCCAGGCAGTGGGTGTGGACAGGGGTCGTGCTGGTTAAGTGACAAACAGGCTGACAAGTCAGGGTAGTGCTCACCCAGGAACCGTCTGGAAGGGGTTCTGCCGGCTGGGAATAGGGCTTGCTTCCCGGAAGCATTACCAACCCGATGGGGACCTTCACTTCGCATACAAAGCTTTGGCTCTTGTTTTGTTTTACAATTAGCACACAATTCCCTTAAGAGTGATTATACAAAGAAGTATTTTATATCTATAAAAATGAGTGCTAAGTACATGGCAAAGGGGGAATAAACAGAAAAAAAATGCCAGTGTCCTCCCCCACTGATGTCTGGCAGTGGCGGTGAGCACCTGTGGTGTGCCAGGCACTGTCCCAGGCACTGGGCGACAGCACCGACCAGAGTGGCTGCCCGCAGAACGCTGGCCATCTGCGAGAAGCAGGTGAGGTGTGTCCACACGTGCCTGCCTGCCCACGGCGCAAGGTGGGCAGGGATGAGTGGGCACACACCTAGGGATGTGGGAGTGTGAGGGGGGAGAGGGGCAGTCAATGGCCCCCATGGAGGGACAACAGGAGGGCATGCAGAGGACAGGGCACCCCAGGGCCGTGCTGTTCCAGCCTGTCTGGGTGTGCAGGAGGGCTGATGGAGACAGGAGCATGCTCGACTCTGCAGGGCCTTGTGTCCTCCAAGGACATGGCGACGCAATCACAAAGGTCCTGAGGGGCGAGCCCAGCACTTCCTTATTCCCAGGCTGGTGGGAGAGAGGGGCAGTGAGGGCGACAGTGGGCACTCGCCCAGCAGAGTTTGGGGGACTGCTGCCAGAGGCAGAGCAGGGCAGTGCCATGCTCAGCGGGGGTCGCAGTGAGTCACCCCAGGGGCAGCTGGGCAGTCTTTTTCCTGTAGCTCGGTTGGAGAAATTCACTGTCTAGGTGGGCCAGAGGAGTCTGAGTGGCCTGTTCTGCTGGTCCTTGCCCACTGACTGGAGCGCAGGACCCCAAGGATCAAGGAGTAGCGGAGATGGACCCTTGACCAGAAGGGGCCAGAGAGGCCTTCTCACCCACCCTCCTGCAGAGAGGCAAGGCTACCCAGGGGCCCTGCGAGACTGTGGCAGAGGGCCAGCAGACAGGGAGACCAGAACTGCGGGTCCTGTTGCAAACATCCAAGTCCAGGGCGGGGAAGGCAGGTGAGTGCCGACTCTGACAAGTCCTGCACACCTAGACCACTGAGATCAGAAGGCGCTGGAAGCTGACGCAGAAAAGCTGAGGAAGAGCACCTGGGCGGAGTGCTGACGAGCACTGTGGGCCAGGCATGCGGGCTGTGGGGCACAAGTGTCCTCTGTCCACAGTACGAGGCCTCTCGAGGCCAGGTGGATTGGTGACCGGAGATGAGACGGCTTTCCAGATCTCACCACTGGCCCCCAGGTGCTGGGCAGTGTGGAGGCCCTCAGTGGGAGGTGAGGGCCTTTCCCGGCTCCCGACCTGCTCCAGAGAAGCAGCTGAGCGCTGCAGCGGCAGGCGGGCAGGCACATCGCAGAGCGCAGGCTTCACGTCGCCCCTCCACAGCGCAGAAGGCACTGCCCGTGCACTTGTGGGGGACAAAGGCCTCTGCCACCATCCCCAGCTAACAGCAACCCAGGCCGGAGGGCCTCTTGCTCTCCTGGTTCTCGGACGGACTTCCCTCCATATCTGTAAGGAAGGGAGAGGTCACTTGGCATCAAACGGACACCTCCAGGGACACTGGACAGGGACCCCCTACTGATACCCTCTTGTGGCTGCTGTCCAGAGCTGTGACCTTGAACTTCAAGGCCGCTTATTCAAGGCCTGGCACAGGGACACATCCCAGGTGGTGGAAAAGTGGACAAAGGCAGGTACTGGGAGAGCCAGGACACGTCTGTGGAGCCTGGAATGCTTGACGTGGCCCATGAGGAGCCTGCCGGGCAGACAAGGGAGCCAGGGAGGAGTCTGAGCTGGCAGGTGGGGTCAGGGAGGCTGCAGGCCCGAGGTCAGAGTGATGGGAGAAAGGGCAGCCCAGAGAAGGGGACGGGAGGGTGGTGGATGTGGATTTTAGGCCACAGGCCTGCCTCCCCCGCCAACCCGCCACCCCCCGCCGCCCCCGACCCACTGCCTGTACGCACGGATGAAGTCTCCATCGCCGACCTGGGGCTGGGAGCCACTCCTCCTCTCCAGGTGTTGCAGCACCGACTGCTCAAACGCCAGGGTGGCCACGCGGCTGAAGAAGGCCTTCACGTTCTCCCCTGCGAGCCCACGAAACAGCTGTGACCCCGTCTACCTCCACCCTCAGCCGCAGAGCATCTGGGCGGGAGCCGGTGGGTATGAGGGTCAGGGTGCCACCTCTGGGGCTCCATGAGATAATGCAGTGTGGGGGACTGTCCAGTGGGCCCCGCTCTCCACCTGGCTCTAGCTCTCTCCCCACTCTGGCCACCTGCCCCAGCAGCCTCCTCAAATCTCTGCACCTGGGCTCCGCCCAATCTATTCTTCCAATCAGTCAGTATGGAGCACCTCCTGCAGGCCAGGCGTGGGGTGTGTGCGAGCACAAAGGTGCCTGCTCCCTGTGACTTGTGAGCGCCTGTGCAGTGGGCGGCTGTGAGGGTGAGCACATGCTGCCAGCCCCACACCTGGGGCCTTCATGGAGCCTCCTCCCGGTGGAGGCGGCCGCCCACCCGGCTGGGCCGGGGTCCAGTCGCCCACATGCATGCCGCCCTGCACGTAGGGTGTTCTGCCTGGCCTGCAGGGAGCGTAGTGCGCCTTCCTCCTTCTGATGAGAGGGGGGTTCTCAGAGGGCACAGGAGGCCATCGGGTTACCAGGCCTGGGTGCTGCCCCTTTTTGCTAGTGTTGGGCTGGAGGTGGTCTTCCCCCGGCGGCACCTACCCTCGGCATCCCTCAGCCAGCCCCTGGGCAGTGTCTGCCCTGGCCCCTCACCAGGGCCGGGATGGCCGTGGGGGTGGGATCCCCCGTCCCCAGCGCCTTTACACACTGGCGCTCACTGCACGTTACCTCATTTTATGTCCCCAACAACTTGTGTTTTCAAAGTCTGTTCTTTGTTGCTCTGAGTTGCCTATTTTCTTTTCAGTGTAATCTATTTTACACATGGCTCTTGTAATTTCAAACATGTTTTCCATTAAAAATAAAATGAGATGAACAGCATCACCCGCTTCCCAGACGAGGGTACTGAGGCCCAGAGATGCTGGGCACCTTTCAGGGGCCAGAGTGAGCAGTGGCCCACGGGGGAAGGTGGGCCAGGGACCAGGGGACAGATCAGATGGGATCTGAATGAGGACCGGAGGCCCTGAGTACTATTTCAGTGTCTGCCACAACGATACCCGGCGAAGGATGGGAGCCCCTGTTGCTGGGACCTTCTATGTGCCGGGCGGTGTCTCCCACCCAGCACCCACAGGGTGTGGGCAGGAAGCTGGGGAGGGCTGAATTCTAATCCTAGACCTGGCACTGCCACCCTGGGACCCTACAATTGACTTAACAGGGACAAAATGACCCGCCCAGAGGGTCAGGTGTCACCTTCACCGTCATTAGCACAGCTGGCTGTGATACAGGCACTCAATGGGCCCGAGGAAGGAAATGCGTGAGTCCCCCACAGCTGGCCCCGAGCCCACCGGGGCGAAAGGCCCGTCCCCACTCACCTGTCTTAGCCGACACCGACCAGTACTCAGCCTGCATCTCCTTGGCCAGGTGCACAGCCTCCACTTCCGCCTGCTCACACGCTGCCCTTGACTGGGAGAATTGGCCCCTCTTCAAGGAGGCACCTGAGGAAGAGGCTGCTAGCCCCCCAGGGTGTCTCCTTGCTCCCCATTTCGCCCTGGGCTGGGCAGGCCCCAGGTCGGGGGCCGGTAGCACATGCCTTGCCCGGGGGTGAGACCCTGGCAGTCTCGGGCAAGTCTTAGTGCCAGCTGTGCCTCCCTGAGAAGAGCGCCCCTAACCTTCAGGTCCCAGGCCTGCAGGCCCCAAGCTCCCATCCAGCCACGTCAGTGCCCCCTCCCTCTCCCAAGCTTGGGCCGAAAGCACCTACATTTTCCTGGGGGCCACCCCTGCTCACCAGAAGGTCCTTCTTGGTTCCCACGAGGAATACAAAGCAGGAGCCTGGCTCGTTCTCTCTCAGCGCATCCTCCAGCCACTGCCTGGAAGGCACAGGGGGTCGGGGTGGGGGGAGAGCGACTGAGAGATAGCCCCACCCACCCAGAGAGGCCTGAGAAAGATCAAGGAATGGGTACAGACCTGGGTTCCTCCCCAGGGCTGAGAGCACTGAGCTGGGAGGTGCCAGGAGGGGACTTTGACCCACACTAGTTGAGAGGGTGCTAGCCCTGAGGTCAGACAGGCCTCAGTTGGACCACAGGTAAATGGTGTTGCAAGCACACTGGCCAGGGGAGGTGAAGACCCAGTCTTGGCTGTGGCTCTGCCCTTGTCCCATGTCAGCTTGGGTGAGTCCTGCACTGCCATCAACCGGTACAGTCACCCTGGCCTCCCTCACAGGGCCTGTGAGATGCTAGAGGTAAATGCCCAAACAGAAGTGAGGTAAAGGGGGCTTTGGTCCATTAGCCGGATGACTTCCGGCAGAAGCAGGAGGGCCCCCTGGCACTGTTCATGCTGCCAGCCAGCTCTCTGTCCAAGACACAGATGCCAATCACGTTCCTTCAGACAGGACTGCTGTATGACTTGTGGGGCCCAGGGGAAAATGGAAATACGAGGCCTTCCGTCTGACAACAGGGCTTTCAAGATGGCAACAGCAGAGCATTAGAGCAAGCACAGGCCCTGCTGGGTGCAGGCCCCTGGGCCACTGTGCTGGCTGTGCGCCCTGAGCGGCCCTGACTCTATCTAGCACACGGTGCGAATCTTGAGGGATCATAAGGTGACTTTAAAAAGTGGCCTGTGGGCATTCCTAACAAGTGAGCCAGTCACTCACACCTGCCAATGGGGCCCCAGCTCATGGGCCCAGACTTGGGGAGCCCTTTCAGGTGATTCTCTGAGCCCAAGGGGACCCCAGGAGCAGCAGATTCTTAGACTTGCCTGGTATGTTCCAGAGTCTGCACATCAGTGAGGTCAAAGGCCGTGATGATCACTGCACATGTAGGGGAAAGCCAAGAGCTGGTCAGTGACAGGTAAGGGAAACACAGTGTGACAAGGGACGCTCCCTTCAGGCGGCCCCCTGCTGGGGAGGGAGTTCCCTGCCCAGGAACTGCTGGGGTGGGACCCCAGGCTCTCAGCTCTGGCCCCCACAATGGAGGCTGGGAAGGAGATACCCCATGGCTGTCCCTTGTGACCCTGCCTCCCATGCCCTCTCCGACCCACACCCAGCGGTGCAGCCGCAGTGGGGGATACAGAGGCGAGACGAGGTTGGGGCTGCTGAGCCCAGATCTCCTCCCTGCCATGCACAGCGAAGGGGGCTCAGGCGAGGGCCTTAGCTGCTGAGAGCCTGTCTTCCCATCTGTGAAAGGGCGAGAACCACACCTCTGGCTCTCAGGGCTGCTGTGAGGTTTAAGCCAGAGCAGCTGTTTTAAAAGCTCTCGGTTCAGGGCCTGGTGTGGGGCAGACTTTCAACCCATGGCAGCTATGCTGTGAGAGCAATCAGCAACAATCAGCTCTGGGGAAACAATTTCTGGGGAGCAGCGAGGGCAGAAAATGGGGAGATGGAACCCCCCACCCGGCTCTCTCATCAGTGGCCTGGCCACCCCCACCTTCTCCTCTAACCTCCTCCTCTCCTTTCTAGGTGCTCTGGACACACACTTCTCTCTCTCTGCATCTTTCTGAGCTGCAACTGGTGCTGAGACGCACAGGGAGCACCCATCACCACAGGGTCCCCAAAGGGTAAGACTGCTGAGGCCAGTCCCGGCCCCGAGGACAGGCCTTAGCATTTCTCAGTGCTTCTTGGGGACAGATTTGGTGCCGGCGTGGAGGGTCCGGACTTCCCACTGTGGAGCCTGGCAGGGAGCCCTCTGCTGCACGCCGTTGAGGGCCCCATGGTTGCCACCACCCGGCTGCTCACCCTGGGCACCCCGGTAGTAGGCAGATGCGATGCACTTGAACTTCTCTTGCCCTGCTGTGTCCCAGCTATGCGGTGGCAGAGAGAGAAAGGGAAACAGAGAGGTGGCAGATTAAGTGACTGCAGTGGTCAGAGCTCAGGAGGCTAGTGGGGCCATGGGTAGCAGACCCCGAGGGCCCAAGCCAGCTGCATGGGCTTCAAGAAGTGCCTGCTGTGCCCACCTCCCCACCCCTTAGGCCCCTTAGGGTCCCTTTCTAGGGTGCCCCATGGGGGAGTTCCCTAGCTGGACGCACTGTACTCATGGCAGAAGGGCAGGGCCTCAGCAGTTCCACTGCCCAGGTGTGCAGAGCTATAGCTCAGCCGCTTGTGACTGTGCTGTTAAAAAGGAGAACACGCCCCTGTGTGCTTGCTCGGGGGACGTGGAAGTGCACCCACCCACGGCGCGGGCCCTGTGAATGGGACAGGGGCCCCAGGGTGGACGGCCAGCTGCGGCTCCGCCACTCGCTCGCGTGTGACTGGGCCATGGCTCCTGCTTCTGCACTGCAGTGGAGGGCTCGCTCAGCACCTGGTGGGGGTGCAGGTGTCTAACAGGGACATGGTTGTATCTCCTGGGTGACTGATCAGTTAGCTCCGGCTCTCTGGAGAAACTGAGCCCTGGCTCCAGGGAAAAGAATGTGACAATTGATTGATGATGTCTGCCATGGGCACCCTACAGAAGAGAGGGGTGCAGATGCTGCGATCCACTGGCCCTGGTTTGGAACCAGGCCGGGAAGTCACTGTGCAGGGCTGACTCTGAAAATCTATCCCTTTAAAAAATCAACAGGTCAAAACTTAAGTTTTCTCTTGCCCTGGCCAGTGTGGCTCAGTTGGTTGGAGCACTGTCCTGTAAACTGAAAGGCTGCCGGTTTGATCGCTGGTTAAGGCACATGCCTAGGTGGTGGGTTCGATCCTCGGTGGGGGTGTATATAGGAGGCAACTGGTTGATGTTTCTCTCTCCCCGCTTCCACTCTCTTTAAAAGGAATAAAAAAAATCACACCAATGTTTCCTTCTCTTTCTCCCTCCCTCCCTCCCCTCTCTCAAACAACAACAACAACAACAACAACAACTTTTCTCAGTAAACTGACAAGTAGACAAGCCAGAATAAGACATCAATGGTCTGAAATTTTTTCACGTGATCACCATGATGCAGAACTTTTGCGTTCTGTTCTTTCATTAATTCGTTCACGTTTTCTTTCACTTCTGAAGATGACTCTAGGTGGGAAGCTGGAGGGGTGGTCTGCAGGTGAGGCCAGTTGGTTGGCTGGCAAAGGCCTTAATGTAGGACAATAAGCCAGGACAGCGTCCCTACTTTGTCCTTGGCCCTCTAATTAGACACAGCCTGTGGTCACCACGGTGAGCCCAGCCACAGGCCACGCACCACACGGCTCCACCTCTGCTGCCTCCATTAGCGCTTTGTTCTCCTCGGCTCTCCTGCTTCCAGATCCCCCCGCCCCTGCAGCCCTGCATTCCCACAGCCTCTTCGGCTCTCGTCTGACCCTGTGCTCCCCTGTGGGTGAGACTCAGCGGTACCACCTGGCTCTAGGACTGCACTGGGGCTACAGAGGTCCTCAGAAAAAGGGGCGGTCTCAGCAGAGTTAGGAGCTGGGGTCCACGGGAGGGTGAGCTCCATCTTGATTACCATGGATCCCAGCCCAGCCTGGGCAGGGCGTGGGGGTTTGAGGAATGAAAGCACAGGAAGTGTGAACCCCAGGGAGAGAGAAAGGAGAAGGGACCAGGACAGCAGCCTGGTGAACACCAGCAGGGGAGCATGGAGGGTACATGAAGGAGGGAGGGCTTGGGATGAGGTGGGGGCCACGCAGGAGTCGGCAGGGCCGGGGGTGCGGGGAGGCCTGCAGCATCCTCCATGCACCAGAGGAGAGGGAACACACGGTTCAGAGCTCTGGTGGGAAGGTGGGCACCTGGGGGAGAGACTCTGGGCTGTTCTGAGGGAAATGAGGGCAGGGGAGGGGAGGGGAGGGGAGGGGAGGAAGGCAGCGGCTGCTGAGGGGCAGAGGCACAGGGCCCAGCAGGGAAGAAGACAGACAGAGGGATAGCAGAGCAAGGGCATCGGGGGTGGGGGCAGGCGCACCAGGACTGAGGAAGGTATGCAGGCCAGGTGGGCTCCAGTAGAGCCTGGCACATGGTGACCCAGTTCTGGCCCTGTTTCCCAGATGGGAAGAGAGGCGCAGAGACCTGACGTGACTTGCCAGAGGCCACCAGCTGGCCTGGCCAGTGGGATCGCAGGTGGCCAGGTGCGGGTGGTGTGGGGACGTGGAGCCCTGCTTGTTCAGACAGGCCCTCACTGGGCGCCACTGGACAGTGGAGGAGGAGCTCACCGAGGGTCTCCTCAAAGCCCCCATGAGACGTGCAGGGATCAGCACGACAGGGACTTACATCTGGAGGCTGTAGGGGATCCCGGCAATCTCAAAGCGCTCGATTTCAAAGTCCACTCCGATGGTGGCCTTGTAGTCGCAGTCAAAAACATTCTTGCAAAACCTGTGGGAGCGAGTCGTCAGAGAGGCCGCAGGACGCTCGCTCAGGGCAGTGAGCGCCTGGAGGCAACAAAGCCGGCGAACTGGGGGTCGCTGCGGGGATGGAGGTCCACAGAGACAGGCCTCGGGGGCAGCCAACAGCAAAGGTGCAGGTCAGGGGGGTGGGTGAGGCGTGAGCTCCTGGCCCTAGAGGGGCAGTGTGACCAATGCCAGGCTCCTGGGATGCCACACCCTCTGCTGACCCCACCATCGCCCTGACTTCCTATGCCCTTCCATGGGGTGTGGTTCCCAGCTGCCACGCTGTCTCAACCCTGACATTGGCATCTGGGCCTCCCAGGAAAGTCCCAACAACCTGGTGCTGGGAGGTGTGGCCGGCGTGCTTACCTGTGGATGAGGCTGGTCTTGCCCACGTAGAGGTCACCGACCACCACCACCTTGGAGAGGCTGAGCCTGTGGAGAAGGTGGCCGTGCTGCTCTCAAGCATGGTCCCAAGAGCATCTTCACACACACAGGCTCCTCCTTCCCTGCACTTGCACCTGTGAGCTACCCTCAACCCTGGACAGGGGACGGGACACCTGCTGAGACACTCTGGGGAGTCTGTGTCACTCCTGGCCATTAGAGAGGAGGGCAGGAAAGTCTGTGTTTGTTCTGGGAACTGTACTGTCCCTGGGGCTGTACCCCTGACCGTGCTGAGTTCAAGTCCTGCGTGATAATTAGACTTGGGCACCGGAAGATGAGGAAGCAGAGGGAGGAGCCCTTGGTGGGGCTGCGTCCAAGCTGGGGGTGCACCCAGGAACCTGGAGCACACTGAAGGTGCAGACACAGGGCCCATGTGTGCAGGGAACACAGCCTGGGGTTGGAGGCAGGGCCCCTGCACCTCCTGCCTGTCCCTGGGGCTAATGCCTGATAGGTTCCCTCTCACTCCTTGAAAGCAGTCGCTCCCATGGGTTAGTGGGGCACACTCGCTCCCTTGGAGGTGTTTGCTAGGCCCAGCCAGGCCAAAGGCCGTGTCATAGATGGAACTCAGGTCTGCACGCCTGGCCTGCAGCGTGAGGCCAACTGGCTCTGAGGTTCTCGGGCTCTCTGGGGACCGTGCTCACCAAGAGCAGCTGCCACTCACTCTGGGAGTGTCTTGCATTCCATGCAGCGGCATTCTGGGGCTGGGGGTGATGCTCTGAGTTTCCGTAGCTCATGCCAAAGCCCAACAGGTAACATCTGACCAGGCACTTCCTGTGCCTGCAGACAGCAAGAGGGCACCTCTGGTGACCTGATGACCTCGTGCGGCTCGCCTGACTGTGTCTGTGAGGGCAGAGGCTGTGTCTACCCTGTTCCAAGTGGCCGCTAGCTCTGGAACAGGGTGTCCCTTACTCTGCTTCTCAGGTGAAGGAGTAAAGGCACTGCTGAGATGTTGTGGGGTACCCTGTGTGCCCCAGTCTCCCCACCTCCTCATGCTCTTGGGCAGGGTTAGGGGTAATCTGAGTGAAGCACCTGGTACGGAACCGGTACTCCCAAATGGGCGGCTGTTACATCAGCCCATGACCGCAGCTGCTCTGGCCACCCCGACCTGAGTCCGGCCTCACTTTGAGCCACCTTGGGATCTCAGAGCTGGGGCCCCACTGCCACCTCCCTGCACCTGTGTAACACCTGTGAGCCCAGCCACTCCCTCAGCAGACTGTGAGTGTGGCAAGATCCCTGTGCCGGCTGTGCCAGGAAAGAACAGACACAGCCCTCACCCCCAAACTCGCAGTCCTGTGAGGTAAGTGCATGGGGCACAGGAGTACACAGGAGGCGTGCCCCGCCCACCCTCGCTGGGGACAAGGTGGGGGGGGGCTCAGAGAAGACCCCCAGAGGACCTGACACTATACTGAAGTCTCAAGGAAAAACACTACAGACAAGAGAAGAAGGCAAACACTGAAACCTCAGGCTGAGAAATGGGGAAGCTGTTCTCTACGGCAGAAGTGTGCCCAATAAGGCCAGAAAAAACTCTCATCACATTCAGGCCTGGCCTGGGTCGCACTGGTGTGCTCTGGGGAAAGGTTTCCCTGGTGCGTTCACATGTGCACTCATTCCCTCCTGCCGGCCCCCCACCCCACGCCCCGTGAGCTGGGGCAGTGCTCACCCGACGGTCCCTGTGCTCCGGCGCTGGCAGGCGGCATGGACCTGCCTGTGGAAGTGCTCCTTGAGCTGCAGGCAGGCGTCAGGCGTGTACCACTGGAAAGAGTCAGACAGGCAGACACAAACGGGCACATCACCCTGCGAAGCTGCAGCTCTGTCACCGAGCAGGGCAGTGAGGTGGTGACTTCTTTCCCAGCATTTCCTCCTCAAGCCTCACAGCTCGCAGCCTCATTAGCGTTCCCGATCCCTCGGTCACATCCATCCTCTGTCTTGTCAGCAGCCTCAAGATTCCGGGGTCTTATGAGTCCTGAGGAGGAGCCACAGGGGCAGAGCCAGACCAAAGAGCAGAGCCAGACCAAAGAGCTCAGGTGGGGACCGGGCGAGCTGGGCCTCACCTGCGGCAGCCGTGCCCTTACCGTAGGCAGGTGGCAGGTCTCTGTCCCCTCTCGTCCTCGTGGGATGAGATGAGGGGTGGGCTTTAAGGGCTCTTTTTAGCTCCCAGGTCCTCTCATAGCTTCTACAGATCCCTATGCTGTTTTTGTTTTTAAAATACGCACATATGTGCATGGAAAATGTCGTGGAAGGCACTTACAGTGTTCCACAATGTTTGGAAGGCAGAGCTGGGCAGCGGTTTAGGAGCACAGCCTCTGGGTCGAGAAGACCTGCATCTGCCCTTAGCGGCCATGTGAGCCTAGGCAGCTGCCTAATGTCTCCAAACTGCAATTCCCCATCTCAGAGGCTCGGAGGCATAAAACGAGATGACGTGGGTAAAGCGCAGAGCCAGCGTGGCTCAGACTAAGTGCTCAGCAAATGTTTGTGGCCACTGAGATGCCACGGCATGTGCTGAATATACATGTGTTTTAAAATAAGAAAAACGAACTTCAGATGACCATTATGTTCTGTTCTCAGGTTGGCCGAGGCCAAGCACAGAGCGTGGCAAGGACACGAAGAGAACGGCGTCACACTGGAGACTGCTGGTGTGCTCTGCTGTGACATGGCAGTGGTGGGCCGGGCCACTGCAATGTCCTCAGGGCACTACTTGGGCCCACAGGTCCCCTGTGGCAGGGGCTTGGCCACATCCCCTAGCCTTATTGTTTCTTCTGAACTCTCAGGCATTGAAATGGGTCCTGCTCTAGGCCATTTCATGTGCCCTCTCGGCTCCAGGGGTGACTGAGGCAGCAGGGACGGTGGAAGGAACTTTGCGAAAAGGAAAGATACAGAACCTCGCAGAGTCTATTTCCTCCTCTGCAAAGGGGGGACACTCCTAACAGCACCTCCCCACTGGCTGTTGAAGGCTTAGGAGGGTGACGCAGGGGAACAGCCTGGCCCAGCAGCCCACAGTCCTGCAGAAGAGTGTCAGCAACCCCAGGGGAAAGCTGGCGGTTTTTTCCTGTCTACTTGCATGTCAGCTTCGAACTGGGGCCTGACCTGGGCATGGTGGTCATTAAAGGAACCCCCTAATTTTGGACAGATTGGAAAAGTGTAAGAAGGAAGGCTGGGCAGGAAGTGTGAACCAATTTTAGGGACAGGAAAACTGAGGCACACAGAGCAGAGGGAAGGACTCGCTCCACCCGACCACAAATTTCTCAGGTCTGAAATGGTGTGGTCCTGGGGGGCAGGATGAACTTGGCCAACTGTGGCCCGTGACCCCTGACTGCCACAGGCAGTGGGGGAGAATCTCACCCTCTGTGGAAATAGGTCAGGTGCCTCCCAGGGTAGGGGAAAGCACAGCCCTAGTCAGCCTCAGCCGAGTCCTGGCTCCACCATGCCTAGCTGTGTGACTTTACACAGCCCTCCCTACCTCTCTGAGCCTCTTTCATGTCCTGTTCTGTAAATGGGCTCCTTTATCCCATGAGACCTGGACTGTTTTGGGCCAGTCACACTTCCCTTCCTTGTGGCTCATTAAATGCCAGTCTCCGTGATCCCTGGGTACCACTCTCAAGCTCTCTAGGGAAGTAATTGCCCAAGCCTCTGGTAAGATAGAAAATCCTGGGGGAACTGTCCATGGGCCTGAGACATTATGGCTCTCTTTGTGGGGGAAAGCAGAAAAGGGGGAGAGGGAATGACTTGCAGCCACCTCCTCTTTCCCTACCAGCATGGGCACAGCATTCAGGAGGTAAGAAGGCCACTCCATGGAGATTTCTCCCTTCACACCCCTCCCAAGTCAAACACAGGCAACCACTGAGCTAGATCTTATGCATCATTCCAAAGCTATTTTCTGCAAGTATCAACACATACATTTCTGTGCTCCCATCTTCCTTCTTTGTTGCACGTGGGAGTGCCCTACACACACTGCTCCATTCCTTGCATGTTTACTTTGGCTCTCACTGCACATTAGCACCTGGAGAGGGGCCTCACTCCTCCTCCAGTGTCAGGAAGTAGCATTTTGTTCACTAAGCAGCCCTCTCTCCAAGGACATCTACTTTGTGTCTGACCTTTCTTTAGCTTTACAAACTGTTGGAATGCCTGGGCTTGAAATGCTGGATCTGAGGGTGGGGACATTGCAAAGATGGGAAATACTGTCCCACTCCCCCTATAGAGGTTGTACTAATTTGCATTCCTGCATATATTACAGCTAGGTTTTAATATAAATGGAAGAGAGCTCAGTTTTAAGTAGAAACTGAAGGCAGAAGGATAAGGGGGGAGAACCTGGATTTGGTGTGGGAAAACTGGAGTGCCATTTTGATAATCATCATCATAATAACAATGAGAACAGAACAATGACCGCCCTCAGGGGAGGGAGCTCCCATTTACTTCGAGCAGGGCAGCCTACCAGAGAGGCATTTTCCTGTGTAGCAGTGGCTCCGAGAGGTTGAGTAACTTGCCCAGAGTCACACAGCTTAATGACAGATTCAAGAATGACACCCAGGATTGCCCTTAACCTCCATGCCACACAGTCTTCTGGTCTCACCCTTATCATGCTGGCCCACTTTGGACAAGTCGACCCCATGTCTCCCAGCTTCTCAAGAAGTCTGGTAAATTCCTGGAGTCTGTCAGCAAGGGAATGACCCCCTGATTCACCTGGTGTGTTTCTGGTGGTGAGTGCAGGTGGGGACAGCTAGATGGGGATGGGGAGTCCAGAGAGCAGCACACACACAAAGTCTGGCCTAGTGACTCTCTACCTTAGGGAAGCTGGCGATGATGCGGTCTCGGCTCACAGGGGGCCCCAGAGGCAGCAGGGAGGACCTCATCCTTCCAGAGAGCTCTGTAGACCCAACCAGGGGAAAGAGAGTTAGGGAGCTGTGCCAAACCCTGGGGACTCAGGTGCAAGTTTATGCCTAACTTTTCAGTAGCTTTGAAAACAGATCCAAGCCTCCTCTCCTCTGTCAAGAGTCTGGGCCAGAGGCCATCATCTCTTTCAATCTACAGGCCCTATGGGGGGGGGGGTGCTGTGAGGGGCAGGCCTGCCCCACGCTGCCTGGGCTTCTAGAATACCTGCAGCTCCCTCCTCCTGCCGCCCCCCTTAAAGCACATGACTGGCTGTGAGTGAGGAGGCACCGCATGAGGGCACAAATATCGCAGGCAGGCCTGGTACAGAAGCGGAATGGGGACGGGGGTGTCCCTACTCATAGTCTCTAAAGGATGGAGGCTCTGGGTGGGCCGACAGGTTTCAGCCTCCTGGCCTGTCAGCACACCCAGGACCCGGCCCCTGATGTCTATTCAACAGTCCTACCTCTCCTTCCGTCTGAACCCTTTCCCCTCTAGGGTGGCCTTGACTAAGCCTGTTGTCTTCCTCGCTCTGAGCCAGATCTCCCCCAGGACCAGCAGCATGGGCCTGACCCAGGGTGGGGTTCAGGAAATGCTGAGGCCCCAGGCACTCAGGCCGTGTTCAGGTTATGGCCGTGGGAAGCGGGCGGGGACGACGCGTCCTCCCGACCCCGGCCTCCGAGACGCGCCGTTACGGAGGTGGGCCGAGGGTAGGAGTAGGGCGGCGGACTCACCCGCAGCGGCTGCGGAGGCTCTGGGTTCTGCACCACAAGGTCTGATTGGGTTCGCTGCAGCAATCACCATGGCAACGAGGGCCACGCGGGACTGGAGGGCATTGACGAATCCTGGAAGTAGGGGGCTGGGTCCGGGCGGGGCTCGCAGCAGAAAGAGTCCCGTGGCGGCCTGCCTGAGCCATCACCATAGCAACCAGAGCCTGGCCCTAGAGGGAGCTGGGGGCGCTAGGAAAGGCTGTTGCCTGCCGGTCCGAGCGCCGGCGATCACCATGGTAACGGGGCGGAACCGGATATGGGTAATGGGCGGGTCAGGGCGGCCGGGGTGGGACCTGGAGTCCAGGGGCGTGGCCTGGGCGGGGCTGACGGTGAAAAGCCAGGGGCGCCTGACCTCCCTGACAAATCTACATAGCCGGGAGGGCTGGGGGCTCAGACTAGTAGGGATTATGATACGAAGTGTTTAATCATTTACTTATTAAATATGATTCTTTTCTGGTTATCTAAATACTTCATAGTTTTCGTTATATATTGGTATAGAGGGATCTTTAAGATCCCTTGTCCCCTTCCTCACATCTCATATCTCATACATCAGTAAATGCTATAGGTTCTGCCCTGAAATTTTGGTATTCTCTATCTTCCTCCCACTTCTCTTGGCATCACCTTGGTCCAAGCCATCATCTTCTGTCCCTTTATCTGGTCTTCCTGCTTCCATCGTTGCACTTATTCTGTTCCCAGTTCAGCAGGATATCCTGTTAAAACAGGGATCAGATCACGTCCATCTTGGCTTCAAACCCTTTAACATCTCTTTACGGCTCACAGATTAATGAAGCCTTCATAATGGCTTCAGTGGTTATGTGATTTGCCTTGGCCCCATTTCCTTTTTTTACTTCATCATCTAGTGCTCACCACCCTCCCGCAGCCCATCCCCCACTGGCTCCAGTGGCATCCTTGCTGCTGTTGCTCTAGCAGGCCAGGCGCACGGGTGTTTGCACTGGCTGTTGCCTGGGTCTGGAATGCTCTTTCCCCCGATGTTCACATCGCTCCCTTTCTTCATCTTCTTTGCTCAGATGTCACCTCTAGAGGAGGCTTTCACTAAGCATCCTGTTTACAGTTGCCGCCTTCTCCCAACCCCTTACTCTGCTGTGTTTCTCCAGGCACTTACTGTTTTCTAACATATTATCGTTTATGTTGATTGTGTACCTCCCTCCACTGAGAGCCATGACTACAGACAGGGGTTTTTGCGTTTAGCTCACTGATGAATCGCGAGGGCTGAACGGTGCCTGCACGGAGCGGGCATTCAGTCAATGTCGAGGGAGTGCACAAATATTAAATTACAAAAAGAAGGTGGAAAACAGTGTTTGAAGTATGCCGCCACAACATTAAACAGTAAATAAATCATGTTTACTTGTATAAGTGTAACTTACCTCTGGAAAGATACCAGTGGCTGCCACAGGTGTGGACAGCTTGTTGTCTGGGGACTGAGGGAGACATTTTTCTTTTATCCTTTTGAGATTTTTCTCTATGTGTATATATTGCTATTGAATAAATAACTCAAATGAAAAATAAATAATTTGGAACACAGAATACAATAATGTCCCCCATCACTGGCCCTTCCAGCTCAGCTCTAATGTGCTTTGATGTGCTTCCCTCCTTGGGCCCTTTCCTGAAGACACATCCGCCTTTCAGCAATCACAGCATAAGAACTCTGGCTGTAATATTGGTATTTGATTGGAGCCTAGCACTCTGCAGCAGCAAGTGATGGACATACCTACCACTTAGGGACCTTAATCAGCATTGTTCGGAATCTAATGGCATCCAAATACCATATGCCTGGCTTCTAGAGTTCATGCAACAAAATGAATTCCTGTAATTAATGGCTGTTTAAAAGCTGACCCAAGCCACTCAGCCCCTGTGAGCTAGTTTCTGTTTAGAGAGTGAGGCACATGGGGCTAGAAGGCCTCCAGGGGCGCTGGTAAAGACTGTGTAATCACAAAAACGAGAGAGACGGTGGTTAGCTTTGGAGAGGAGAAAGGGGTATGGGGACAGGGAAGAGAACACAGGCACTGATGATGTTCTGTTCAATAAACAAACAGGTGGTTATTACATTTTTATCTTTCACAAATTAGCATATGCTACACGGAATGTTATATGTACATTTAAAAAACTAAAAAGGAGATGGAAAAATGATAAAATTGAAAAGAGAGGGCAATTAAAAAGAGAGAGAGACTGTATACCCAGATACTGAGAGGCCCACGGTTCCCAGCTTTGAGAATCTATTTCATTCAGTTTCCCATTTCACAGACTAGGAAACTAAGGCTCACACACTCAGAAAGATTTGCCTAGTGAGTTAGAACTAGAACCAGAACCCAGATTTCCTGACTCTCAGCCCCGTGCTTTCCATACCATCTTCCTAAAAAAGCTAGGATGCTCTGGGTTAGAGGGGAACCCTTATGACTTTTCCTTAGAGGGACAGCAGTAGGGGGCAGATCCCCATGTCACCACATGGAATCCTTGGCACACAGGTCTGCGTCAGTTACCTTCATTTCAAGGCAAATGTGCTGGAGGCTGACGCTTGGTGCATTTTTTAGTGGTTTCACTGCTACAGGCCCAGGCTTAGGGCTCCATCCCCTCCTATGCCTCAGTTTACTCAGCTATAAAATGAACTATCTACTTTGTTGTGAGGATCACACAAGATGGTGAAAGTGCCTTGTGGATTAGTATAAAACTTGATTCAAGTCCATTACCCATTCATTTGTTTCTACACTTACTCAAAGCCTCCTGGTATATTGCTGGTGTTGGAGAGGCAAGTCAACAGGAATGACATGGCCTCTACCCTCAGGGAAATGGGAGTCCGCTGGGGGCAACTGAGAAGTAAATAGAGAATTAGGGAAGGGAAGTGTGCCATGAGGTAATTAAACTTTGGGACCATTTTCTGACTTGGAGGTGGGGAGGAGTTAGGCATCATGGAGGTAGTGTCCACCAAGTTGTGTCCTGAAGGCCAAAGAGGTGGCTGATGTTGCAAATGGTCCAGGCTGCAGAAGGGCTGTCCGTTTGGGGGGTTAAGAGAGAGTTGAGCATGGTTGGAGGAGGCCATCACCCAGAGTCTTGAGTAGCAGGCTAGAGGTTTGGACTCTGCCCTGGGGCCTCTGGGGAGCCATGGAGGGTTTGATGCAGGTGATGACTGGGTCTGGCTCACTTTCAAGCACAGCTGCTCCAGTTGGCCGTGTGTTGGGTCCACTGCAGGGGCTGGTCTGTGTCACTACCAGCCAACGAGCCTGCAGAGCAAGGAGGGTGGGCCAGGGTGAGACAGTCTTGGGATCTGACCTGTGTGATTTTGACAAACTACTAAAACCCCCTGAGGTTCCTGTCTGTAAACTGGATAATGTTACCCCCTTATGGGGTTACTCTGAGGATTAAAGGCGTGCAAAGTGTTCAGCACAGGGAAAGGAGTACACATTCATTTCCCTACCTTTCCGTGCCGTAAACAAAGCGGAGCCGCCTTTGTTCCCCACAGTAACCTATAAAGTATCTTTGTCCCCTCTTTACAGCCAGCCTGCCGCAGCCCCGGAGCTGTTTGCGCCTGCGCAGTGGGCGCCGAGTGTGCCGAGCCGGACAGGACGCCTCCGGAGTCGCCTAGCAACCGGGTCGCCTGGCAACGGACAAGCACTACCGCGACCCAGCGAGCTGAGGCAGGTGAGCCCACGGCGACCAGACAGGGTCCCGAGACAGGGGGCCCCTAGACCAATCCAGTCTGGCTCACACGGGTCTTGTGTCTTCACACCCCAAAGCTCTTTCACCTGCAGCCAGACTCCTGCTGCCCATGGCCCTTAGAGGAGGGCAGGCCCCTGCCCCAGGGCCCCCTGCTCTCTGCGAGGGGAGCCCACAACGGAAAGGGCCGCGTTTCTCCCAGCTCCGCTGTGGGCCTCCCCTTGCCACCTGGTGTCCAGGATCAGAGTCGGCTCACTCCTTTAACTGGAGTAGAATCCTACAGGGCTGGGACCTGCCACTGCCACGAAACCCTGGCAGCATCAACCGCTACCAACATCCCTGGAGCCCTGGTGTGGTGGGCTCGGGAGGGAGGAATGGAGGTGTTATTATCAAGTCCCTTTTGCAGCTGTAGAAAGACACAGAGAGGGGAAGAAATTGTCAAGGGCCACCCATGGCCTGAGGCTGGAGCCTATTCTTAGTACTAAACCACACTGCCTAGAGTTGCTCAAGGGAGTGAGTGTGTGTGTGTGCACTCCGTGCACAAGATAAAAATAATTCACCTTTTAACCTTTTTAACTCCAATTCCTTCTGAATTCACTTTTGTGGATGTGTCAGAAGCATCCGAATATGGGTCCCTGATGGGTTAATGAGCTGGGCCCTCATTTGAATGTTGGCTCCTGATCTTACTAGTTCTGTTTCCTTCAGCATGTCACTTTCCCCTAAAACTCAACTTCCACCTTTGTAAAACAAGGATAATCCAGGTCTCTTTCTTCTGCAGTAGTTGATTTAGATACCAGGTATTTCTGGCACAAGAGAAGCACTCAGTTGGTGACCATATTAGTAAAGTGTGGGTGGTTTCTTTGGTTGTTAAGCATGGGACAGCTCTGGAGTGTGAAGTGTGGGCCGCTACTCACTTCACCATGACCTTGAGCAGATCCATTCATTGCTCTCAGCCTCAGTGCACTCATCTGTAAAATGGCTGTAAAACTAACCACCCAGCTGTGCTTACTGTTTGGAGGATCAAATGAGAGTTAGTTTCTAAATCACAGTAGTAAAAATGACAACATTTTGGGTTCTTTTCATCAGTGGTTTCTGCAGAGCTTCATTTTGGAACCTAGAGAGTCACCTTCTGCAGGTGTGGAAAGATGGCCCACACCTGGATCTCTATGTACCAGCCCCCTAACATCGACCCCACCCAGGCTGCCATTGCCTATGGCTGCCGGGCCCTGCCCAAGCTGAATGAGGAGCTGCAGTCGGAGGACCTGCTGACGAGGCAGAAAGCCCTCATGGCTCTGTGCGACCTCATGCACGACCCTGAACATATCTATGTGGCCATCGGAACAGGTGAGAGTGTCACAGAGCCTAGGTGACCGTGACCAGGATCTGGATGGACAGACACAGAGTAGCTTGAGATGCGAGGGGCTGAGGTGACCCGGTCCCTTCACAGCATCCCTCCCAGCTGGTCCGTCAATCCTTGCAGCACACCGCTAGTGGCTGACCCAAAGCCACACACTAGCCCTCTCTGCTGTGGCTCGACCAGGTGGCCACAGATCTGCCAGGCAGCCCTGTTTATCTGTCCTGTCTGCAGGCTGTCACAAAAGACAGGCACGCACTCTGTGGAAACCACATGGTATCTGGGACCTGTGTCCCTTGTTTCCCGCTCTCCTAATTACCAAAATAAAAGTTGAGGCGATTTTAGTGGCATGGCCACACCTTCCAGACCAGGCACATTGATGAGCGTGAACCGCCGCTTCTCCCTCCAGCCTTAGCTGAGGGGCCGATTTAATATAAGAGGTGGTGGCAGCTCTAGCATGGCCTTGTGCGCCTGGTGGAGCTTTAGTAATAAAGGCTGCTCTTTAATAAGCCTGACTTTGGGCCAGCAGCACCCCACATGCTGTGCTCACGTTATCATAGTCCTCAGCACCTGCCCTGGGAGGGAAGGCGTGCTCTCAGCCAACAGGTAAGAAAACCGAGGTGCAGAGAAGGGGTGTGCGGTGAGAGTGGCCTGGTAAGTAAACAAAGCGGGGTCTGTATTTGCTCAGTCTGGTCTCCCTAGGGGTAACCGACTCAAGGCACAGGACCAGTTAGGGACAGAGTTGGAATGGGATCCAAGTCCCTCCAAAGCAGAGCCCATTTTCTTAACCCCGCGGTGGACTTTGAGGGAAGAAGGTGCTGGTAGGAAGTGTGCGGGGAGATGCAGGAGGGTGTTAGACGAAAGGGTCCCTGGAGTGAGCACACAGCACCCCGGCAACAACTCCCAAACGCTTCCTAATGGATTCCCCCCCATGCCCCACAGCAGCAAAACCTCCGGTAAATCTCTAGTGCCTGATGCTAGCTTACCCGTTGAAGTCTGGGTTAGTTGAATTTTGAGACTAAGTGTTCAAAGGTTCTTCTCCTTGCAGGCTGCCTGGAGAGCCTGAGAGTTTTGCTGAAGGACACCAACCCCCTGGTGCGGATCAAGGCCACGGAGGTGCTATCTATCATGGCGGCCCATAACGTGGGCAGGTGGGCCGCTGCTTATGGAAACCAGTGTCAGGCTTTGGAGCTACATCCCGCCCCTGGGTGGCGTGCCCTTGAACGAACTTCAGTGCTCTGCGTTCTTTGGTGGGAATCCTATTTGGCCTGAACAGGTTTTGGTGGGGTGGTTTTGGTTGCCTCTGTGGGCACCTGACCTGACCCATTTTTATGTGAGTGTCCTGTTCTGAGCTTTCCCCTCTGAAGGTGGAAAGAAAGTTCAGGCCCCACCCCCGCAACTGTTTAGCCTTTTCTTTTATAAATTGATTTTTTCTTAAAAAAAAAAGATGTTTTAAATTGATTTTAGAGCGAGAGAAAGGAAGAAGGGCGGGAGAGGGATTTGTTGTTCCACTTATTTATGCATTCATTGGTTGGTTCTTCTCTTTGCCCTGGCCAGGGATTGAACCCCCAACCTTGGCGTATTGGCACGATGCTCTAACTCAGGGCAACTCATTTGCACCGGGGGCCACATCAGCCTCGAGGTTGCCTTCAAAGGGCCAAATGTAATTTTAGGACAGCATAAATGGAACTCCTCTTTAACAGTTAAGCAGGAGCTCAGTGCTGCTGTTGGGTAGAAACAAGGTGCCGGGCTGGATAAAACGAGGTGGAGGGCCGGATTCGGCCCGAGGGCCTTGTGTTTGGCACCTGTGCTCTAACCAGCTCAGTTGCCCCACCAGGACCCAGCCTTTTGTTGGCTCTTCATGGGGAGCCCAGTTCCCTCTCCCAGACCCTGACAGGGCCTCTGGCTTTGGCTCCCGTCCCCATGCAAGTGTTAAGACACCAGCTTCAAAGCGTACCCCTGGTCTGGGCTGGTGGCTTCAGTCCCTGCTCTCAACGACGCTGAGGTTCTTCTAGGTTTCTGGCACCTGGAACTGGGCCTTTCCCGTGCAAACATAGCTGCGAATTTCACACTTAAGAAGTGGTTCATCTAGCATTTTGGTTAGGAGTTCATTCGTGTGTGGGGCTGTTGGAGGTGCTTCCCCACAGCCGCTCAGTTTATCCTCTTGGCCTGCAAACACTAGTTTTACTTTGTATTAAAAGCAGATCCCAAAACCACAAAGGGCCCCCAGGCCCGGCCAGGGACCTCTGCCCGGCATGCGAGTGCCCAGCAAGGAAGGAAGAAAAGTGGTGATAAGAGTGGTGACGGAAGACACTGCAGGGACAGGGCCTTTGCCATGTGGGCACAGTGCAGACAACAGATGCCCCTTCAGAGAAGCTTCACATCTTTTCAGGGTGGCAGGGCATCTCACAGAATGGAAGATCTTTCGGTCCCGTCTGTCCCCAAACCTTGATACCTCGGTGGCTTTGTCTGCGCCTGTGCGTGGGGCGGGGAGTTGAATGAGTTCATACACCTGAAGCGCTCAGCCTGGGACACCTCGAACACATCCACCCCACGTGGATCTGGGCAGCTGCTCCTCTCTCTGGGACTGCAGCCTCCCTCTCCTGCAGTCTCTGAATTCACACACCCGTTTGCTCAGGGCCATCTCCAGATGGCCACCTGGTCCCTCAGTCCCCTTGACCTCCCCCCAACTCCCCGACTCCTCTCCGGGATCTAATTTCAGGTCCTGTATGCAATCGCTAGGAACAGAGTACATGTGTGGAGGTGGTGCCATAGTGAGACTCATAAGTGAGTCTCTTTTAAACAAGTTTAATGATTTTAAAAGATTCCGGCTGGTGCCCTGGGCCACCGTGGCTCACTTGGTTGGAGTGGCATCCCATAACCAAAAGTTTGCTGGTTCGATTACGGTCAGGGCACATACCTAGGTTGCGGGTTCAATCCCCAGTATGGGCACAGGTATGTGCGACCCCCTGTCTGGATGCGCAAGGACCCCAGTCTTGGCAATGATCGCTGCTCTGGGTGTGTCTGGGAGGCAACCAATGGATGCATCTCTCTCTCATAGATGTTTCTCTCTCTCCCTTCCTCTCTCCCTAAAAACAATGAAAAAAAAAAAGTCCTTGGATGAGGATTAAAATAAAATAAAATAAAATAAAATAAGATTCTGGCAGGTTTTAGCATCCAGATTCCTTCATTATTGTCTTTGCATTGTTGTTCTCCTTTAGAGAAACCAAAGCTGCAAATTCACAGGCACCAAGAAGGGGATAGAGCAGTGGATGGGGGTGGGAGCCCTGGTCTAGGGGGTCGGGCCCCTCCCTTTCCTGCCCTGTGTCCTGGCAAGACCCTGGGTGGCGTCTCCCTGTGCTGCTCTGGGACCGACCTAGGGCCAGTGCTTTAATACCTTTGGGGCACAGTGAAGGGAAGCATCTTTCGTTCTTCCTGCTCCTCTTTTCTCTTTCGGGACCTGGTACGGACATTAGGTAGTAACCCCCCGTGAGGGGTGATGGACGCTGAGAGGCAGAAATGCTCAAAAAGGGCAAGTCTAAGGAAACGGTCAGCCCAGTGAAGGTGATGGTAGTTTTGTTTACTGGACCTGGGAGGTCTGGGCGGGGGAAGGAGGCTCCCCACTGTGGCCACATCACTGGGGTGGGGGTTGGCGAGGACACCGGCACCGGTCGGGGGCGTCCCGGCTGCACGTGTTCTCCAGTCACCCTGACCTGAGCGAGGCAACTCGCGTGGTCAGTGCCCAGGAGTCCAGAACCCTGGCTCCCTGTACCACACCACGTCGGACAAAGCATGCAAAGGGCCAAAACTAAGTGGGAGCAACTTCTGAAGTTCTCCCAGGGTTCAGTCCACCTTATAACTGAAGCCAGAAGCTCTCGGGGCCCGTCAAGGGCTATGTACGTGCCTGTGCGGAAACCCTCTGCCCTCTTGTGCCCACACAAGTAGTGACAGGCAGGGGTTGGGGGGAAGCCCGGGGCTTGGCATCTTGTCACCTGAGGAGTTATTTCATATGATGGCCCACACATAGGAGAGCCTCCCGGGTGGCCTGGCTCCCCCTGCCCCCTCTTGCTTGCCTGCCGGGGGTTGGGGCAGATGCCCTAATGACAAACACAGCAGATTTACAAAGCAGGGGTGACACGGGGTGGGCGACTGGGTGCTGACTGAAGGGTCTCAGACACTTCGCGCCAGCTAGTCAGGACAGACCCCGGCAGCTTGGGTGACCCCCTCCTGCTTCCTTCTCCAAGGAGGACGCAGAGCTCCCCACAGGGTCGAGTCCTGGCCCACACGGCGGATGCGCAGTTTGATGGGGCACTTCCTGTGTGCCGGGCCCTGGGCAAGCGGCCCACACGGAGTTCTCACCTGTCCCCGACCGCAGCCCTGAGAAGTGTGACCTCAGAAGTCCTCCCTGCAGATGAGATTGGGTAGCAGTGAGTTGGTTAATCAAAAGAAATGGTTAAAAAGCCAGGAAATGGATAAATTGTACATTCCCTTGACACAGTTCATTCTAACTCCAAACACAAATGATTAGGCATTCATCAATCTCTGTGTGCCACTCAGGCCTTCTCTTGGATAAGGGCCCACTGATTGCTGTTTCCCATCCTCTTTCGGGCTTAAACCACATCTGTAACTTCATCTAATTTGCAGCTTTGGTTTTTTAAAGTGGAGCAAGAACTCAGAAATTAATGAAGTAATCTGTATGCAAAAACCTTGCAGAGTCTTTTACAGTCATCTCACTTTTTTTTTAGAGAATCACTTTTGAGTCTTCTCATAAGGAAATTAAAAAAAACCCTCTCCTCTCCTCTAATTGGCTTACCTAATATTTAATTAACTCATATAATTATAACAACAAGGATAGCAGGCGCACGCAGGTTTGGAGGCACCTCCAGCAGAGGGAGGGAGCCTCAGCGCTGGGTGGGCGGAGCCAGGCTGTCACTCAGCAGGTAGTTTGGGGCGTGCTGCCTCCTTCCCCTTTTACAGACAATAAGACCGAGGCTCAGAGGAGTAAAAGGAAGGATCCAGGGCACAAAGAACCTGAGCTGCAGCCCTAGCTAGGGAGGGGCAGAGCCGTGGCTCTTTCCAACACCACCACCACCACCCCAGCCACACTGCCCTCACGGCCTGGAGAGTTTCCGTAATATGTTGTCCACTCCAGGCCGTTGCCTTCTTTCTGGAAGCCAGAGGGATGAGGTCTGCAGCAGCTAGTGCAGATTCAGAATCCAGGTGGGGCTGAGGGTGGGCAGCTGACTCTTGGTTCTTCCTTGTCCTCTCCAAGCCTGGTTGTAGTTGTGTCTAAATCCGACTTCTCTTCTCCAGGCAAGGCTTTTTGGAGCATGACATTATCGCCGCGCTGTCCTTCTTGCTAAACGACAGCCAGATTGCCTGCCGGATGAACACGCACTTAGCATTCAAGCACCTGGCCCAGCTGCCTTCAGGTAGGCTCCCAGTGGGCGCTCAGCAGCCCCTCGGTCTCCTGTCCAGGTCAGGTGTGAGCCATGCTGCAGGTCACAGGCTAGAGCACATTTTTTAACGAAGTTATGTTTTAATTAAGGTACAACATACATATTAAAAAGGCACCAATCATGCACGGACATCTGATTAAATTGTACTAAGCAAACATGCACAGAGCCCCTACCCAGATCGGGGCATATCCGGAGCACCCCCAGGTCTCCAGAAGCTTCCCACATGCCGCCTACCAGCTCCTGCCCTCACCAGAGGTAAACAGGATCTTCGACTATAAGACCTCAGATTAGTTCATGCCTATTTTAAAACTTTATGTATGATCGTTATTGATGATTTGCACTGGAGCGTGGTATTCACATTATGTTACAGTTTATTTATCCCCTAAATAAAGTGGTTTATTATCCACTGTTGCCAATGGGCATTTGAATTGTTCCTAGGGCGTGGCTACCGAGAGCAGAGCAGCTGTAAACAAATGTCTTTTGGAGGACATTGTATATGTTTCTTTTGAGAAATACCTAGGAGGAGAATTGCTGGGCATAGGATAAGTTTGTGTCCAGCTTTAGAAGACAGTGCAAATGGTTCTCAAAAAGTTCTATCAGTTTACCCTCCCACCAGTAGTCTCACCCACACTCTATCTTTCCCATGTTTTTATATTAGCTATTTTGGTGTGTGTGTGTGTGTGTGTGTGTGTGTGTGTGTGTGTGATAATGTCTCATTGTGGCTTTAATTTGTATTTCCATGTTGATAATAACCCTGTAAGCATCTTCTTCTGTAAAGTGCCATAACATGCTTTTAAGGACTAAAAATGCCTGCCCCCAAAGGCCACTCTGCCTCCTGGCTGGATGTCCACAACCCTCCCCAATTAGACACAGAGTCTGGGATAATGGCCACTCGAGGGTGGAGGTTTGTGTCAGCTTGACATTCACCCCGTCATGTGATGCAATGAGCACTTCAAATGCAGGGCTCATTCACAGAGGTGTGCCGTCGTGCCCGGGAGTGCCCTCAGGTGGACAGCCAGCCTTGGAAGCCCAGGAGCCGAACAGACTGGGCTCCCCCTGCCCTGCCCCTCTTTCTCTGAGTGCCCCTGGACAGGCTGTCAGGAGGCTGATGACACCCACCTCGAGGCCTGAAGCAAGGGTCACGTGGGAAAATGCTCCCCCACCCTGTGGCCCAGCACCCCACATAAGGTGTGCCGGAGACATTCAGGGCCAGGAGCGAGCACTGGCTGAAGGAGGGGCCTGGAGAGCACGACGGTGGCAGGATGAGGTGGGCGAGGCGGGCCTAATGGGGCAGAGCCCTGGGGAGAGGGTGCTGGGTGTGGGGGGGCACACTGGGCTGGACAGCAGAACCCCCTGGTGGTCTTTTTACAAGACCACCCTTGTTTCTTGCTGGAAGGGCTCTGTGGATGAGGATCTGCCCACACTTTTCTTTCAAGGACCGTGGCTGATTCTCTTGTGCGGCCATGGTCGAGGGGCCCTGGGGTACTGGGGCGTCTCTATGAAGGGTCAGCGCCTGGGGCCGAGCCCTGTGCTCTCTGTGCAGGGATCTTGAAAGCGTTGAGAGAAGTAGAGAGACAATGATCATGAACATGAGGTACCATCACTCGGCTTTGCTCAATCTTAACATTCTACCCTATTTCATATGTGCTTGAGATTCTCCTTTAAAGAAAGATACAGTCCAAGCCCTGTGCGAACCTCCTCCACTCAGCACCCTTTCTCCTGCCCACCCTGGAGCCACCAGTAATTTGGGGACAACATCCCCAACACACATCTTTATATTTTACCACAGACTTAATTAGATAGAGATCTTTCCTTGCATGTTTTCAAACTTGATACAAATAGACCTTGCTGTCTGTATCTCTTTGCTACTTAAAGAAATGTGATGTTACAATTTTGAGTACCCCGTGTCATGGGCTCTATTTCATTATGACAACCACGGCATGCCCTTCTGGTATTTGGATGGATACTGACATGCAATGTACTCACCCTGTCCTGCTGACAGGCACGCCACTTGTGCTGTGTCTGCCCCTGAGCACTGAGGAGCTCAGCTGGAGGAGGGTGTCGTGGGGCATGGAGGGTGCGGGCCAGCATCTTGGCCTGATATTGCACGTGCTTCCAGCATGCCCAGCTGCACCCTGATGGCGTGCTGTGCTGTGTCACTGTTGTGTCACTTTCTTGTCTCCTGTGACCGAGGGAGGGGGCATCTTTCCTCTGTCTGGCGCCGCCTTGGTCTCCTCTCCTGCCCAGTGCCTCCTGGGAGCCCCGAACCCATTTGCTGTTTCCATTTCTTATCGATTTGAGGGAGTGTTTCATTCATTCTGGGTTCCAGCCCGTCCTGAGTTACACACCCTGGAAACGCCATTTCCCAGGCCGGTTGTGTGGCTTTTTGCTGTTCATTTGCTTACTCTTTAGTCCAGCAGTTTTTTGTTTGAATGTGATCGATTTCATCAGTCTTCTTTTTGTCTTTTTAGCAAGGGAAGGGGTGCTATTTAAGAGAATTTGGTGCTGTGTAAGAGCTTATGAAGATATTCTGCCATATTTCCTTCTAAAAGTGTAAGACTTTAGCTTTTCACATTGAGCTGGTGAAGGTCGCTGGAATGGGTTTCTATCCATCTGTGTCGAGGCCTTCCTGCTAGCCCTCACTGGGCCAACACTGTCTGCATTACAACAGCTCTCCGGTAGCCTGGGTTCTGGTGGACTGGTCCCACCCCTGCATCTCCTCCCTGCAAACTTCTCTGGAATCCACGCGCTGTGGCTGCGCCGTGAACAGTGGGGGCGGGGTGGCATTGGTTCTGACAAGCCTCCACGCAGGCCCGGGGGGTTAGCCTCTGCCTTTATTACAGGATTTCCTGGGTGCTGCGCATTGTCTGTGATGTGTCCAGACGGGAGGCCTGGGACACCCTGTCTGGAGGGAGGGAGGGAGACATGCAGTGCAGTGGGTGCTCCATGAGGTCCCTCTGGCCTGGGGGGCTCTGAGTGCTGTGGCTTCTGGGCAGGCCAATGTCCTTGGGGGTGTTCTCCCTGGGGCCCTGGGTGGACTGAGGGCACCTGTTTCAGTGGCTCCACCGTTATCAGCGGTGGCTGTGGCGGCAGCAAAGCCCGTTGGAGCCCGAGTTGCATCACTGTGCGTGGGTAACAATGGGCAGCGTGGCACCTGCGTGGTTTGGCCAGGACGGCCACACCCGAGGCTCAGCCAGCCCTCCTCGTGCTGCTGGTCGTCAGCATGGGCTTTCTATCCACGGCCAAGCTGGAAGGTGCCTTCTGCCCAGGCGATGTGCTTGGCGTGTGGCTGACACTCAACAACTACAGGTTGTTTAGCAAATTTTACTCCGTATTTGTAAAGATCACTTGTTAGCTGTTTTCTTGCTGTAGTTCACTCACTCATCCCTTCGTTTGTTTGGCGAATGCGTTGGGGTATCTGGGAGGAGTGGAGGTTTTCCTCTGAGTCCTGCTGCTGGGTGGTCTGGCTTACTGTGTGTTTCCCAAAGTAACCAGCAAGGGGCGCCACAAGACCAATGACGGCCCAACTGGGCTCTGCCGTGGGCTCTGCCGTGACCTCGGACCTCAGGGTGGGGCTGGCGCAGGTGAGGAGAAACCAGGATTACGGAGGCAAAGGCCACGCACAAGCTGCAAGTCCAGGCTCCCCTGGGTGCCTGCTGGTGGTTCCGGAGGAAACTAGTCTCCTTCTGTGGCCGGGTGCTCAGCTCCAATGCTGAAAGTGAGGGCTCTTCTGTAACTGATTTTGGGGTGCAGCTGAATAGCCTTCGGACTTGGGAACTGTCCCCCTACCACACCTGCTGGCCATGCCCAGGTCCCCCGGCCCCCTGATGGTGGCCTTGGGCCCTGGCGGGCATACCCAGGAGGGAGTCTGGCCCAGAGACTCCCCTGTCACCCACTCCAGTGCCAGGCTTGGAGCCGCTGGCCCGGCTGTAGCCGTAGCGTGCGGTATGGACAGCTCCATCCTGACCCTCACACGCAGCCTGGGTGTGGGGGTGGTGTGCGGGTGGAGGTAGGCGCCCCTCCTTGGGGGTGGGAGGATGTGAGGATGTGCTCAGGCCGCTGCTGTGGAGACTGGCCCCTTGGCCTTGGAAGGAGCAGGGCATGGCCAGGGAGGGACAGGACACGGAGGCAGAGATGTCTGGACACAGGTTTGATCCTGGTAATTTTGAGGTGCTGGGGGACGTTCCTGGAGTCATCTGTCGTCAGGGCTAGAGAGGGAAGTGGAGGGCGGCTGTGTCGGGGGGAGCTGAAGCCGTGGGAGTAGTGGAGGTAGGTGGAGCGGCTGCTGGAGAAGCAACACGGGGTGCCCTTCCCCTTCTGCCGGTCGAGGTGGCGCAGAGCGGTCCCACCCTTTCCACTCCTCCAGGCCCTGTGACCTCGGGAGGGCTGCCCCGGACGGGCGGGTCTTTCCTTTCTCGTCTGCCTCAGGGCGGGGCAGGGGCACTGGGTACAGGTCAGCCTGTCTTTGAGGGGCCATTGTCCCCTTCCTGGACTTAGCAAAGGACGACCACCACCAATGGGGGCACTGCCCTCCTGAGTCCCAGCCTGCCACACCTGCCAGATGCCTCCTTTCCCCTCACCGTCCCATGCCACCTGCCCCTCCAGCGGGGCGAGCCTTTCCCTCTGACCCCACCAAGCCCGGCTGTGGTCCCAGTGTCTATCCCCATGCCCTCTCATGAGGCAGGTGGCCTTTCTCAACCTTCTCCAAGGTTTTCATAATATTCCCAGGTGGTTTGGGACAGCCGATTACACATGGAATTACCAGAAAGATCAGGTCTTTCTTGGGCATGCTCTGGGCATAACCAGCTGGCACCTGGCCCAGGACCCACTCAGCACCAAAGCCCCTCCCCCACAGCTCTCAGCTGGACCAGCCCAACGGGGTATGGGGTACCCCTTCCCAGCACTTGCTGCTCTGCCTGCTGGACCCACACAGATGGGGCACAACCCCTGGGGACCCAGGCCCAGTTGGGTCC